CTTGATTCTAACCTAATCACCCTTAGTCTCCCTAACCCATGAATTCAAAGGTGATTACTCACTAAGGTTCATGATCACTCTTAAACCCATTCTAGGTTTCGGATTGATCATAAACAGAAACAGAAATCAACGAGATGAACAATTAGAACAATAGAAATCAATGATTCCAATAGAATATCTTTCAATAGAACTTAGTTTTTACCAAATGAAAATCTGAATAATCTGCCTCTGGAGGCTTACAACATACTTAAACTTAGGTTTTAGAACAGGAGAAACGAGCATACAAAAGTCCAAAATGCCCTAAAAAATTGTTTAACTTCGGGTAGAAAATCGGCCGCAGCGGCCAGGCACACCCGCTGCACCCTGGCCGCTGTGTGGGATGCATGTGGAGCGGCTAAGGTGANCCGGGTCTAGATCACTCCTTTTGCTCCTCTTGAACTTCTAATGAACCCCAAATGTCTCCAAAGCTTCCATGTGAAACTCCAATACCTAAAGGGGACTCATGTATGCAAAATGCAACCTAAACATGGCTAGAACCTAACCTACATGATGAAAAGATATGCAAAAGAGTAGATAAAACAATGCAATAATGCAAGACATCACCTATCAAAAGCCAGGTTCATACCACACATAGGGAATAGGGTTCCTTTGGGAATGGTCATGACCGCATCAACATACCTGCACATAACCAAAAAAAAAGACTAAACCAATAAGCATTGCTTCATCGTTTAAGCTTTTTCAAAAAAAAAAGAGAAGGATAATCAAATTTCCTGGAGTTTCTTTCAAGAGGCTTCACAAGCTGAGTAGGAGCATCATAGTCAGGGATGTTGAGCCAGAGGCCATGAGAGACGGCAGTTATGGCACCTTCACGCATACTAAAAGGGTATCCACGAACAAAGTCTGCTCCATCACCATACGGATCATAGAGTGTGTTAAAGAAATGTGGTGTTGATGGTGTTAAGAGGTTCTTGATATGCTGCTCAAGTGCATTGATCTCTTTCCCAGACGGATCCTTTGCAACCTACATAGCATTAGTCATTGTCAACTTTGAGATCATAATCGTTTTGATATATAGCGCGAGAGGGGTACTTACAAAGCAATCATCATCAATGGTGTAGATGTACTTCTTCTTTGAGACCATATAACCAAAGCAACGACAAGCAGAGTCTTTGAAAGAAATGCAAGAAGACTTGGGACCCAAGATACGGTTGATGTCGTCCCTGTTGTAGAGCTCGTAGTCAAACCCTTTAGGAATGTTGATGGTTCTTGAAGGATCACCATCTTGGACGATGATCAGGTGGTATTGTTCAAAGAAAGGTCGCCACATCTCGAGGAAATCTAGGTTTCGGATCGTTGGTATCACGATGTCTAGCTCATCTTTCAGCATTGGCGTGGGTTTCACTGAAGAGTACAGTTGCGCCATGTGAAATGAATGGGATACAAATGCGTAAAGCTTAAGAACAAAGAAGCAAAGAAATGAAAGAGAGAAGTATGGTAATGAGAGGATGAGTTCATTGGTTTATGAAGACGTGAGATGGGCGTGAGAATCATTTCTACTGTTAACGGAAGTTTAAATAGTAATACTCTCGTGTTCTTATGCCAAAAACATGCTTTGATGTGTTTCTTCTTTTCTGTCGTCATCTGCAAAAGTTGAAGTTACATGACAATAATTTTTTTTTTTTTTTATGAATTGCTGTTATATGTTTTGTAGAAACTAGAAGGAGATAACTCATGTATTATGTATTATCACAAACAGGTTCACGACTCCCACCCACTCTATAACTCACTAAAGCCTAGTCATGTGATCAACGACTGTTTTTATCCATCTTCTAGAGGAGAGTTACAAAGAGAAACATGTGGAAGATTGTTAGAAGAGCAATTTAGGTGTAAAACCAAGATAGATAAGGAAATTAGCTGAATACCAAAGAGGGGAAAAAGGGTGGGTCCGTGGCCATGTCGGAGGTGGTGAAATGTCGTAAACACCCTGCCCGAGTGAATTCATCGCTTCCCGGTCATCCCTTCTGACAAAAAGATCAAGTTTGGATTTGGCAAGATAAGTTATACATAAGGTGTACATTAGCAAAACCAACATCGGTAACATAAAATAATTATCCCCCTACAAAAAATCTCTGACGAATACGGCTGAACTGTTAACAAAATCTTTGAAAAGATTTCCTAATTTTTTTTTTATTTTCGAGTAATGAGAAATACACACCGCTTAGACATCTCCTCTCTCCCTTTATAAGTTGTAGGTAGACGGTTTCAGCTTTCTCCAGAAACAAACTGAAGTTCGGTGAGGAGATACTTCTGCGAGGGAGATAAAATCGAGAACGAAAGTTATAGAGGTGAGAAACAAGATTATTACTTGCTATAAATGTAGAGAATATTGTGAATAGTTGTCTAAGTCATACCGTTTATGTTCGAGTTTAATAATGTTGGGTAGCATTAACTCCATGTTTGCAATCATTTTTTCCTCTACGTAATAAAGGTTGACAATCTTATTCTTTCACTTAATGAAACCTAAATGTCAATTTTCCAGGCATGGGTCGCGTATTCAGAATCTGGCGTGGAGATTGGAAGAAAAACGTTGAAGAGCAGTGGTACTTTGTCCCAAACCATGAAGATTTCGGGTTTACGATGTATCTCGATTCCCCTGAGACGTTTCCGGTGATTGAAGCTACCGTCAGGGAATGGTACATGGTGGGACCGGAGACTCCGGTTGTGATTACCTACGGGATGCCAAACTGGATGCTATTCCCAAGTGGACCCTCATCGCCAAGAAGAATCTCAACGACAGATGACTTGGTGACTTTGTTGGGGGAGAGGCCACTACTAAGTGACGTAACTCTCCTCTGTACCTGCGGAGCAAGAAACGTTGCAGAGTTTAACTTTCTCTGCCGCTCTGATTTCACTATTGGCGCTTCAACTTACGTTGTCGGAGAAGGTCAAGATGACAGGACAAGGGCAAGATACGAGAGTGAGTTTTTAATTTGTCAACCAAAGAGGCTTCTTTTATAGTAAACTAAAACTGTGTATTTTGGAGAGGTACGAGTAATGATTATATTTTTTTTTACAGGACTGGTGCTGGGACCTCGCTTGATGGTGAGCGAAAGTGTTATGAGAGAGGTTTTCGGGGAGGAGGAGATGGCTATCCTCCACCGTGTTGCCATGGAGATTGCATATGCTGATAGGATTCTCGGACGCGGAACCGGTGATGGTGTGGTAAGAAGAATGGAGATCATTCAGCTAGATGACGATGTGGCTATGCCTGATGTTAGTCAAGACATGGTCGCTGGAGAAGGTAGTGTGACTGGAAATGAAGGTATGTAACAACCAAGTAAAGTAAAAAATTATTAGCCGGTTAATAAAAAGTCATCACGTTGAAGCTTCATGACTAGTTCTTTTCTTAAAATTAGTGTGGTTGTGGTATACAGGTACAATCATTCCATACCAGTCACCGCTAGTGCCTCCAACAACTGCTGGTGATGCACCATCTGTGCTATGGGATGTTGGTTTTGATTTGTTGGACTATCCTGAGGTGTACAACTCAGAAAGTGGCCGTCGTAAGCTAGCTGAGGACGCAGCCTTTTGGGAAGCGGTTATTGCAGCAAATCTCGAGGGTGATGAAGATGTGTTGTACATTGCCAGTCATGATGAAATCCGTGTGGGGTTGGCTAAAGGGGACACACCGAAGGTAGGGAATGGATTAGCTATCGGTGAATCCTCATCATCAGCCAATCCCATAGTCTCTTCTCTTCTTGGAGCAGATGTTACGACAAAAGAGACTGAGATTTCCAACAATGATAAGGAAGGTGAGGGTATATATATATATGTTTTGATAGAAAATAACATTATGATAATACAAGTTATGTTAGGTAACTAAAACCGGCAAACTTTTTCAGTGACAGAAGTTATTGATGTGGAAAGCTATGAGGAAAACAACAACAGCAACACATCTGTGACCGTCAAGGTGACTGTGGGAGGAGGGACTATTGGAGGTGAAGGTCATACCCCTGCAGCTCCTAAAGCGGGGAACACGTCGTCGGAGGGAAGCGACAACGAGGGTGGGTTTTAAGTAGAAGTCCTTTTAAGGTGTAATGTTTAATATGGTAGTAGGTTTTATAACGTTTGTCATAAAAAGGGTACTTTGCGGCGAGTGGTCGGTTACAAGAAAGTTTATCCCGTGATGGAAAGTTTTTGTGAGGGATAAACTTCTAAGTAACCGAGTCCATCTCTAGGTATTTTGTTATGTATCTCATGTTTGTCGGTTAAAAGGACCGTATTATGGGTCATGATGTTTGTCTGGTGTATGAAAAACGATGTACAAGTTTCAATCTTGTTAAAATATATAAAGGAGATGGTGAATGTTTATAATTGTTTGTGTGTACATAATTTGTATGTTAACCTTAGGTTTTGATGTTGTCAAAGCTTATTAGATGCATAATTAGGAGACAAAAGTAAATTTAAACGGTTAAAAAGGCAACCATGTAGTTAGACGGTTATCAACTTTTTGCAGCCATTAACTGTGTAGTTCGAAATTGTAGTTAAATGCTATTTGAAATGTGAACCCGTTTAAATGTTAGCTATGTACGGTTGACATTACCCAGCTAAATGTATTGTTATGAAGATATATTAAACTATAGACGGTAATAGAAACAGTTAGCCCTCTTTTGTTGGACATATGCCACTAAACATATTAAATGATTTACCCGGCTAATAGATTTTAACTTGTATAACAGGGCCAGAAAAATATGGTTTTGGAGATGACTTAAAGGTTGGAATGATGTTCAGGAACCGTGAAGCATTCAAGCATCATGTAGCAATGTATGCAATTGCACAAAAGTTTTGTTTCAGAAGTACGAAGTCGGATCCAGGCATGATGGTATTGCAGTGTGTCGGGGCATCTTGCCCATGGCGGGTGTACGCAATAAAGATGAAGGATTCTGAAGTATTTGAGGTTAGGAGGGTTGTGAGCGTACATAACTGTTCTATTACTGAGCGTGGTGGGTACCAGAACCAAGCAACTTCATCTGTTATCGGCGAGTTGATGAGGACTAAATTTGCTGGGAACGGAATGGGACCTAAACCAACCGAGATCCGTTTGATGATGAGGGGCGACCATGATGTATCCATATCATACTGGAAGGCATGGAAGTCAAGGGATAAAGCTGTCGATAATGGGCAGGGAACTTGCAATGCGTCATACATGCAGTTGCCGGCGTATCTTAACAACCTAGTCTTAGCAAATCCCGGGTCTTTGGCTAACTTGCACACAGAGCCAACCGAGGTTGGGGGAAACCGATTCAAATACATGTTTCTTGCACTAGGAGCTTGTATTGCGGGTTATAAGGCTATGCGGAAAGTGGTTATCATAGACGGAACACATTTAAAGGGAAAATATGCTGGTTGTTTGCTAACCGCGTCGGCCCAAGATGGGAACTACCAAATATTCCCATTAGCCTTTGCCATTGTTGATAGCGAGAACGACAACTCATGGGAGTGGTTTTTTCAAAACCTAGCTGAATTTGTCTCCAACGAAGAGTGCTTGGTTTTCGTATCTGACAGGCATCCGTCAATATACAAAGGCATAAGCAAGGTATGGGAAGGGCTAACTTTGCCAAGAACCGTTATAAGTTAGAAATATGTTGCTAAAAATAGATGTATATAAATTACATATTAGTTTACTAGCTAAGCTGTTAATTTACTGGCTAAGTGATGTTCAAATTTCAGGTCTATCCTAATGCTGGGCACTGTGTATGCGTAGTCCATCTTAAGATAAACATCAGGTCCAATTTCCGTGGGAGGCATCTTGAACGTCTAGTAGCAAAGGCTGCAAGAGCGTATAGGTTGCAGGATTTCTACACAAGTTTCAACGAAATCAAAGGGATGAATCCATCATGTGCAACATACTTGATAGATATTGGCTTTGAACACTGGGCCCGTGCTCATTTTGCCGGGAACCGGTACAATGTAATGACAAGTAACTTGGCGGAGTCGTGGAATTCTGTGCTGCGGGAAGCAAGAGAATTTCCAATTGTACCTTTGATAGAGTTCATTCGGCTCAAACTGACAACCTGGTTCGCAACCAGGCGGCATGCAGCTAACAATCTAGGGGGTGTGGTTACACCTCGCATTGAAGGGATCCTGTCAACAAACTTCGAGATGACAGGTGGATATGAGGTTATCGAAATAGCTGACAAGGAGTTCGAAATACGTAACAAGAATGGCGTAAGTTTCCATGTTAACCTAAACAGTATGACTTGTAGCTGCTTTGAATTTCAGATGTTATCAATACCATGCTCCCACGCGATAGCTGCGGCTGTGAAAGCTAAGATAAATATCTACGACCTTGTTATAGAAGAATTCAAGGTGAACACATTGAGGGTTGCATATGGAGGAATTGTCCTGCCACAGACAGGACCT